TTTGTGACATCTTAGTTTTGCAATTAGTGATTTGGATGTTTTGTTTTTCCTAGATTTGAAGAGTGTGCTATATCACCATTGACTATCAAAGCACTTTCTTCATCTGGTTACGTTCATATGACCCGGGTTCAAGAGACTAGCCTCCCCATTTGTCTTGAGGGTATGTTTCCTATATTTTTCAATCTTGCAATCTAGTTTTTATTTAACATCACATCATCACTATCAACACTTGATAGTCTTACAAAAGATGCATATTGTAAAAGTTGTTGCATTGCAGTTCTTTTTCTCAATCAGATTGTTTTTTTTGCATCCACTTCAAGCTTTTAATTTATTACTTTGCTTGTTATTACTTTTCTCCCATTCGTTTAATATGTATTTTGATGATCCTTGTACTTCTGGTACATTTCAGGTGTTGATGTTATGGTCAAGGCTAAAACTGGCACTGGAAAAACTGCCGCTTTTTTGGTACACCATTGTTACTTTAATGCAATGCATCCTTTTTAGATTCTTTCTATTAATGGTGCTAAATGCAAACAGCTTCCTGCTATTGAAACAGTTTTGAAAGCTATGAGTAGCAATACCTTTCACCGTGCACTGCCAATATCTGTTCTTATTCTATGCCCTACCAGAGAACTTGCTAGTCAAATTGCTGCTGAAGCAAAGGTTTTGCTGAAATATCACGATGGCATTGGGGTGCAGACTCTAGTTGGAGGCGTGCGATTTAAAGTTGATCAGAAACGCCTTGAATCAGATCCATGCCAGGTATTGTGTTATAACTAAATTTCATGTTTCCTAGCATGTGGTTTCAGACCATTTGTAAGTCTAATTCTTTTTGAGCTGGGGTGGGAGAGAAAAAGGGAGATGTTTCTTATTGTGTATGGAAAAACCATCATGCTAAAAACACATACTGATTTTCCTATTTCTTGTATTAAAATTTTCAGATACTTGTAGCTGCACCTGGTAGGTTGCTGGATCATATTGAGAATAAATCTGGAATATCTGTTCGATTGATGGGTTTGCAGATGCTTGTACTTGATGAAGCGGATCATTTACTGGACCTTGGGTTTCGAAAGGATATAGAAAAAATTGTTGACTGTTTGCCTCGTCAAAGGCAATCCTTACTGTTTTCTGCAACCATCCCAAAGGAGGTTAGGCTAGGTTAGGTTTTTTTGTCTAATATTGATAATCAGTTTTTGATTGAAGGTTCTTACAAGCACAATTGTGTTGCTGCAGCATTCCATCAACATTATAATCGACCCTTCTAAAATATGCAGGTCCGTCGAATATCTCAGCTTGTTTTGAAGAGGGAACACAAATATGTTGATACAGTTGGAATGGGTTGTGTTGAAACTCCCGTTCAGGTAAAATACATATTTGCTACTATTTTCACACACTAACGGTTACAAAGTAAAATACATATTTGATTGACTTTTAGATCCTTAGGCATTAATGCTTATTTTTTGTTTGGCATCACAGGTAAAGCAATCATATCTTATTGCTCCACATGAATCACACTTTCAGATAGTACATCATATTTTGAAAGAGCATGTCTCGCAAACACCTGATTATAAGGTTAATGCATTTTCTGTTTTGGTGTTTGAATTGCTTTGTAATTCAATTTATGATTTTAACTGGTAAATTTTGATTCAGGTTATTGTTTTCTGTATTACTGGGATGGTGACATCACTCACGTATAACCTGCTTCGAGAAATGAAACTGAATGTTAGGGAGATACATTCTCGAAAACCTCAGCTGTATCGGACTCGCGTATCGGAAGAGTTTAAGGAATCCAAACAAATGATTCTGGTCTCCTCTGATGTTTCATCACGTGGAATGAATTATCCTGATGTCACTTTAGTCATTCAGGTGGGAGTTCCTACAGACCGTGAACAATATATACATCGTCTTGGAAGAACAGGACGGGAAGGCAAAGGAGGGGAGGGCATATTGTTGATTGCACCATGGGAAGAGTATTTTTTAAATGAGATCAAGGATCTCCCTCTAGAGAAATTCCCCTTACCAGATTTAGATCCACAGGCACAGCTTAAGGTATATTTTGTGCTTTTGTTCAAATGTCTGCAATATTTGGATGTATTCTCATTTCACTGTGTACATAATATAGATATATTGATCTTCATTGTTCATCGTGTCCCGGCTTATATGATTGATTGTAGATAGAGAAAATTATTGACTGCATAAATTCTTGCAGATTGAGCAATCAATGGCAAAGATTGATAATGACATCAAAGACGCAGCTTATCATGCTTGGCTCGGTTATTATAACTCCATCAGAGAAATTGGGAGGGAGAAGAGCACAGTAGCTGAGCTGGCAAACCGGTTTTCTGAATCAATTGGTTTACAGAGGCCACCTTCTCTGTTTCGAAAAACTGCACTAAAAATGGGTTTGAAAGACATTCCTGGTATTAGGATTCGTAGATAGCTCTTATGTAAATTGAAAAAGCATTTTGTAATGCGAAAGATTGTTTGAGTAAGCTAATTTATATCATGTTCCTCCGGGAAGTTATACATAAATTGAGAATACAGGTTTTCTCTCTAGAGCTTTTCTTTATTGCTTGCTAGTATACGATTTTTGTTGGAAACAGGGTTTGTCAACATCAATGTGAGAAAATAAAGGAGATGAATGTGAATTATAAGTGTTTATGTTAGCCATAGTTATGGGGCCACTGTATTAATTGTCTCGCAAGAAAGAACTATATACAAGCGTGACTATATTGCGCTTATACCGGTATAATCTTGTTAATCACAAAGTCAAATTAGTACCCATTCTGAAGCATTGCAATAACCAAACAACCAATACTACAAGAATTGTGAGCTTGAACTATTCTCTCTCCCACTTTTTTGTTACTGTAGGTTATTTTTAAGTTGCTATTCAGTCTCAATAAAAAAATTGTTTCCTATTGGTCTTATAATATTACTTCCGTTAGCAGATTAAATCCCTACCGATAGTTGTGATGTTAAAATGTTAGTATATGCCAAAGTGGTATGCCAAGGGTTGAATGTTTTTAAGAAAATTGCTCTTTCGCTCATCCTCTTGTTTTTTAGAAAATTGATCTTGCTTTTGTTTTCAAGGATTTGTTTAGGATTTCCTATTGCCTTTGTTCTAGTTGTCCGATTGCCTCCCTTTGTCTCTTCGTTTTAGTTTTCTAATCTCTTTGTTCTTTCGTAATCTCTTAGGATTTGAATATTCTTCGATTTCTAAGGTCTCAAGCAATTCTTCCATTGAAACATTTGAGTCGATTATGCGCATAAACAAGATGAGAGAATGTTATTGTCAAGATGAATGTGTGCTTCGTATTGTGGGTGACATTATAGTGTCAATTTTGGGAAAAAATTGGGGTTGTAGAAATTTCAGAAATCATGTGAGTAAGAGTTGTAATTTCTTCAAATGGTTCGACGACAACATTATTGATGAAAGGGATTTGAAGATCCAGAGGTAAAAGAAGAAAATTTACAAATTGATGAAAGGGATTTGAAGATCGAGAGGTAAAAGAAGAAAATTTACAAATTGAAGAATGAGATCATTAACACTAGGGAATGGTTGAAAGTATCCGTAGTGATTGGAATATTGAACCTAGTGTTTAATGTTGTATTTCTAACAATGTTATTTTAGGTTGATTATTTGTCTATGTAATGAGATGTATTTCTCAACATTTATCTGTCATGTAATGCATCTGTCAAGGAAATGTGTTTGTCAACATTGTTATGTATTTGTCAGTAGTTATCAATGAAATGTTTTTGGAGTGATCTTACATTTTGTTTCCCATAATATACCAGAACAAATGAACTTTTTATTTGGTGTAACATAAGCATAACAATATACTTGAACAAATGTTTCCCATAATATACCAGAACAAATGCACACCATAGTCAACTGACATAACAATAGTAATATAACCTTAACAAATGCACACCATAATTTTGTCATAACAATAGTAACATAACCTTAACAGAAGTTGTTCTAAAGGTCATACCAAAAGTAACATTATAGGTCATGAGTGATAGTAACAAAACCTTAACAAAAGTTGTATTATGATCATACCAAAAGTAACATTATAGGTCATTACAAGTGACAACAAAAGCGACATAATTAGCCATAAGTCATAAAATAGGAAATAGACATTGTATGCCATCTGTTACAAGTCATTACAAGTCACAACAAAAGTGGCATAATAAGCTTAATACATAAACTACACAATAGCCCAAAAGTGGCATAAGTAGTACAAATCAAAGATCAACATAAAGATCATGGTTGGCTCAGAACTGGTTTTAGGCCCTCTTGAAGCTTCCTTTTCTTCTTGGGTGGTTGCTAAGTTGAAGCTCCATCTGGTGTTGGTTGGCTTGAGGTAGCAGCTGGTGTTGGTTGGCTTGAGGTAGCAGATGGTTGTGGTTGGCATGAGCTAGAAGGTGGTTGTGGTTGGCTTGAAGTCATAGCAGTTGTAGGCAGCTTACAAGTGGCTTTATTGTGACCATCCTTATCGCACCCACTACATTTGATACCAAAATTTTTTCCCTTTTGAGTTGTGTCTCATTTCTCATTTGTTCCTCAGCCTCCTTGTTCCTTTTCTTCTTGGGTCTACCAGGCATCCTTTTTATGGGGGTGGTTGCAGATCAACAACATCTGTTTTGGTCCAAAGAGATTCTCCATTAACTGGATAAATCACTAGTGCATAGCAAGTCTCATAACACTCCTTTTTGTAATAATCAGGCACGAAATCATCCACTTGTAAATGTCGATCCTTCATACATGAAATAACATGACATCATGGTAGCTCTGTCAGCATCCACCTTCTACAAGAACACTCATGCTTTGATAGATTAACAACAAAATTTTCTTTTATGAGTGATATATGTCTAACGTCATAGTCTACTTCACCTGCACTCGTGTTAAAATACATAATTGTATCATCATATTTGGCAGCATATTACCTAACAATCCAATCAAGTATGAGCATATTTGGTAACAGAATGGTATCAACATATTACTTAACAACCCAACTGTTTGTTCTTTGTGATTCCTTTTCCAACCTCTTTTTGATATTTGGCATAATGGTATCAGCACATTTAGCAATCTTTTGTCTGTTGGACTCCCACCTTTGCATCAGGTACACTCTTATCTCTTCAAGCATAGTCACAACAGGCTTGCCTCTTTCATCTCCAAAAACTGAGTTGAAGGCTTCTAACATGTTGTTCACCAAAGTATCACACTTTGGACCAGTTGTAAACTTTGATTTGCTCCAGAACCTTGGTGGGATCTTCCAAAGGTGCTTGAATGCCTCTTTACTTACATTCTTTATCCCATACATAATTTTTTCCCAAGCATTTGAATGACTTGTATTAGCAGCCTTCCACATCTATTCCTTTAATTTGACACCAGGAAACTTCTTCCTGAAATTGTTATATAAGTGCCTAACAAGAATAATAGATGTCAAACATTCACACCAGTAACAAGAATAAAACATATCAAATCTTTGGTCAACTTAACAATAATGTTTTCCTAACACAAAACCTTTGGTTAACTTGTGGTAACAACTCATCAAGTGCAGGCAACAACCCCTGTATTTTAGGCAAACCAAATCAAATTTAAATGTCTTGCATAATCTAACCAAAAAAAAAGAAAATTGTTATAAAGATATCAATACACACCTTTTGTTGATCACTTTTAAAGGTATATGTCTTGCATAATCTGATACTTCTCAAATCATTTGTCAAGATCCAAAAACCAACTACATGAATATTTGGTTTCTCCCTCAACTACAACAAATGCTATTGGCAGCATCTGGTCATTAGGATCCCTCCCTATGGCTACAAGAATTTGTTCACCATAAAAGCCTTTCAAAAAGCACTCATCCAATCCTATGATAGGCCTGCACTTAAAGAAACTCTCCTTGCAAGATTTGAGGCATATATAAATCCTTTGGAAATGTGGATTCTAAGACCTCTCAGGATTCTCACTACTTTTCTCTCCTTTGTCCCATCCATATTAACATCCTTAAATGAACCTTCTTGGTCAAATGCAGTTGAATCTTCTAAACCTGTGGGGTCCTCTTTCATCAAACTTGTCACCTAGATTATTCAATTCTTCAATGGCCCCCAAGTCATCAAAAGTTCTTTTGACACCATTATTCAATTCATCCAACATGTCATCTTCCAAACTGTCATCTTCTACACCATTATGACCTACATTGTTTTCACCATTGGGACCTACATTATTTTCAAGAGGCAATATTTGCTCTTCCCCGTACACTGGATGGATTACATATAGATGAAAATTCTCATTAATCAGTGCAATCGTCTTCATTCTATATGCTCATGCGTCATCTTGCAACATCACTAGCTCATTATCATCTATTGCATCATAATACCATAATCTCTCAATTTTTGGGTACCCTAAATCTTTCAACCCACCTAGGATCTCAAAAGAACTCCAAAAAATCGGGTCAACTTGCCAAATCTCCTCTAACCTCTTGTAACCTAATCTGTTAAACTCACCAAACACACTACCATGATGGATAACACAGTCAAGCCTATCAGTCATGACCTAATAACACCAAATAACTCAGAAATCAGACGTTGAAGTAGACATAATTGTTAAATGTTTGCTTTTTAAAATAGTAAGTTCACACGTGTACATTAGCCTTGAAATGAGACAATGGTTGATTAGCTAGGTATCGTCTTCTGCTATGTTTCAACAATCCTCGTCTTCAACCACTGAGCTCTTCTTCTTCACAACTGCTAGGGTTTTTTGAATATGAGCGAAACTATGAAACTGAGAGAGAAGATTAAGAGTTCAGGGTTTTTGTTACTAAAAATGAAAACAAAAGTCACTATGACACATCAGTATAATAGTAATTGAAAAAAAACAACAATGCCACATCAGTATCGCACTATGCCACATAGGCGCCTCTTAACGTTTTCTCAAAAAAATTAACAAAAGTGACTGATTAGGCTAACGGAGTAGACTTAAATGACTACATTGTATCGTTTTTTAATTGTGGGACTAATTAGAAATAATAAATTAACTTAAAGAACTAAAAGATGAATTAAGCCTAAAATTTAAGTGAGTTCATTTTCACAGATTTATTAAAATTTGAAAAGTTTTTTCAATCCGCGAGGAGAAGTTTAGATGAGTTGAGTTTAAGAAATTCATTTGAGTTTCTTAAGCTTAACAAATATACTTATAGATTATTCATTACAAGATTTCCTAACATCATATAAAATAGATGTAATAGTCTTAATTGTTTATGGTTGCTAGTAAGTTCTAAAGAGGAAGATTTAACTTGTCACTCTCAGATGTGTTATGGGCTGCCAGTAAATTCTAAAGAGTAAGATTTAACTTGACTCTCACACTTAAACATGTCAACCCCCATTTCAAACAATTTTACCATTATATTATTGGATGAATTCTAGAAAATTTTTAAATTTACAAATTTTTATTAAAAATTTCAGTCTGTATAAAAAATTTTGAAAATTTACAAGCTTTTTATACAAAATTACAAGAAAATTTTAAATTTGCGGAGGTTTTTGTTTTTCCCTTGAAATTCGGACAATTTCTGGTACATGTTTAAGATTTTTCAGGAAAATACCAGATTTTTTGAAATTTTTTATATTTTTTGAAATTTTCAGTATTTTTTACCATAATTTTTCAAATTTCTAGTATAAATGAAATAATTTTCAGAAATGTAAAAAAATGCGTACTAGAAATTTTGATTGTGCTATCGAAAATTTTGTTTTTGATATGTTAGTAAGAATGAAAATTTTGTTGGTAAATAATAGCAAGGACATTTGTGAAATTTAAAAATGATGGGGTGCCAAATATAATTAAGGGGGTGACAAGTTAAATTCTCCCTAAAGGAATTGATGGATTCCGCTATCTAGACCACTAAAGTGAGTTTACTCGCAAGATGCACTCTACGCTCATACACTCGTACAGTTGCTAACCAACTCTTCTATTTAAAGAGGTGATTATATCATTTCTCAAGTATCAAATTTTTCCTCTATTCAAACTTTATTTTTTACTCATTTACTAATTTGAACGTTTGAATGCTAATTTTATAGACCAATTCTCACTCCACTGCATCAAACCATGAATCGACCGCAATATTCCACAAGTTCAATCTCTCTTATAAAATAAAATTATTTGAGCGTTGAAGTACTTACTGTTGGAAATTCACCTCACACCCTATGAAGAATTCCCTTCAATCTTGATCTCAAGATTGATGAACAAACCCACTATATGATAATGATGGTAATAACAAGTAATTATTAAGAACAACAAAAGAGAAGAAGAATAACAAACAAGAAAGAGAAGAATGAGAGAAGAAGTATTTGGAGAGAATGTGTTACCCACAACTGTGGGGTTTCTTATTGAACTTTCACTTGCTAACTGCAACTGTGAAATCTGTTCTATTGTGATGTAGAATACAAAGCAAGGCACCCTATTTATAGTTTTAGTTTTACACTAGCCCAAAACATAAAAGGCCCAAAACATTCTAAATCAAATCTAATCATATGATATCAAATCTAATCATATGATATCAAATCTAATCATATCAAATTAATCATATGATATCAAATCTAATCATATCAAATCACAATGAATTATATTTAACACACCACCTAATTCATTGTGTCTAAACTGTCTACATTCATCATGGCCCTTAGTCTTCTGAAGGCTTCGACATGCACTCCCTTCGTCATGATATCTGCAATCTGATTCTCAGTTCTGCAGTGTTCCAACTTCATCTTCCCTTCTGCTACCCGCTCTCGGAGATAATGGAACCTCATTTCGATGTGCTTGCTTCGACCATGAGCTATTGGATTCTTTGCCAAGTTGATAGCTGACATGCTGTCTATCTTCATGGTAATTGCTCCATGGTTCTTCCATGTGATTTCTTCGACCAAGTTCACCATCCAAGTTGCTTGACATGCACAAAGGGAAGCAACTATATATTCTGCTTCGCATGATGATAATGCCACCACTGGTTCCTTTCTCGAATTCCAAGCAACTGGTGCACCATCTAACATAAACATATATCCAGCTGTGGATTTTCGATCCTCAGCATCACTACACCAACTGGAGTCTGTGTATCCCACTAACTTGCATTCTTTTCCTTCATCAGCTGCTGGAAACAAAATGCCATAGTCGAGAGTTCCTTTCAGATAGCTCAGTATCCTCTTCGCCGCTGCTAGGTGTGATACCTTTGGTTTATGCATGAATCTACTTATCATACCAACACTGTATGCTAAGTCAGGCCTTGTGTGGAAAAGGTATCTAAGTGACCCAATAAGTCTTCTGTATTGGGTTGGGTCGACATCATCTTTATCTGAATCCTTCGACAGTTGCAATCTGGGCTCAGCTGGAGTCGAAATTTGGTTGCAATCTTGCATCTCAAATCTCTTGAGTATCTCGCCTGCATATCTTCTTTGGTGCATCATCAAACCTCTACTTGTCTTGTAGAATTCGATGCCAAGGAAATATGAGAGATTTCCCAAGTCTGACATTTCAAACTCCTTACTCAGGTCATGTTTGAAATCTTCGATCTCCTTCTTGGAACTCCCAGTTATCAACAAATCATCAACATAGAGACATAGTATAAGCAATTTTCCATTGCTTCTTCTTACATATACTCCATGCTCAGTTGTACACTTCACAAATTCCTTCTCCCTTAAGAAGCTGTCAATTTTCTTATTCCAAGCTCTTGGAGCTTGCTTAAGTCCATACAGGGCTTTATGAAGCCTGTACACCTTTCTTTCTTCGTCTTGTTTCACAAACCCAGCTGGTTGTGCAACATAAACTTCTTCTTCTAGGGGCCATTAAGGAATGCACACTTCACGTCCATCTGACATGTGTGTCAGTTGTTCATATTTGCTAGACCAACAATCAACTTGATTGTTTCGATTCTAGCAACAGGTGCAAATACTTCATCGAAGTCGATTCCTTCCTTCTAAAGAAATCTTTTCGCCACAAGTCTCGCTTTGTGTCGAGTTACTTCTCCTTTAGGATTTACCTTCACCTTGTAAACCCACCTCACATTAATTGCCTTCTTGCCTTGCGGCAATTCGACAAGTGACCAGGTATCATTGACTTTGATGGACTCTAACTCTTCAATCATTGCTTTCACCCACTTCGAATCTTTCAATGCCTCAGCTGCATTGACTGGTTCAACATCTGCGTAGAAAGCATAACGTACCAGCTCACCCTCTTCATCGACTACATCATCTGATGTGATTACACATTCTTGCAACCTTGCAGGCATGTGTCTAGTTCGTCGAGGTCTGCTTGAACCTGCTTCATCTGCAACTGGTTCCTGTCGAACTTCTATTTCGACTTCAGTGGTTGCATTTGCTAAAC